GGTGTGTCTGAGGGCACTCATGTGCACGCACCTGCGATAGTACATTTGTAGAAGTCAGAGGACAACATGTAGGATTCGGTTCTCTCCTACCATGTTGGTCCATGGGATCAAACTCAGGTTGTTAAGCTTGTCTACACATAGGTGCTTTCACCTGCTGAACCATCTCTCCAGCCCAGTGAATTTTCCTCCTTTCTTAATCCAAGAAATGTTTTGTGGAAATGACTCAAGGGTCTTTGACCTAGACAGGTTTAAGTTTTAGGAAATCCAGTTGTTATCCATCAGGTAGAGGGTAGGTTGTATCAGAACAGGAAAAAGCTGACCAGTGCGACATTTAAACATACAAAGAATGGTCACTGCTAAGGAAAGTGCTGGGATGTTTCTCTCGTTTCTGAGGAAACACCATTATCTTCAGTTTCAGGAACTGAAGTAAATGACTGGGCCATTTAAATTCATAAACTCAATACACACCAACAATACCACTGAAACTACCTTAAAGAGATTAAATAAGCTTGAACTTTAAGTTAGTTAAGGTATATAATTATCCATGGATTAGTTTTGTTTTGTCTTTAAAAGCTGCTACATCCCACATCATGTGTTAGACATGCCTCCATCCCAGCTACACCTAAGGTTGGGGCAGAAGGATAAGTTAGAGGTCAGCCTGGACAACTTGGCCAGACCTTGTACCAAACTAAAAAAGAAAGAAGGATGGGGGCTCCATCTTAATGGTAGAGTACTTGCTTAGCATGCACGGTTTGGTCCTCCATGTAGGAAGAAGCATTGTTACCCTTTTCACGTTCATGCCAACAGCATAGGAACAGTTTATAAACAATTGCCTTGATGCAAATAATTAAGCCATTCCTTGAGATTTCCAGGATTTTTCTTTCTCAAAAGTTTTGCTAGGCTTAAAAACATGACAGTTAAAAAATTTTACGTAACAATTTAGGCTATGCTTAGGATTAGAAGTTCAACCAGGCTTACATCCATAATCAGAGCACTGGAGAAGCAGAAGGATGACACTGAATTCTAGGCTAGCTTGGGGTACACAGCAAACCTCTGCTTCAAAACAAAATCTAGTGTAACATCTAACCTTTCAAACGCAGGAGTTTACTACTAAAAAGAGTAGTGGTGCAAAGCACGCCTTTAATCTTAGCACTCTGGCGGCAGAGGCAGGCAGATCCCTGTGTGTTCAAGGCCAGTCCAGTCTATACAGTAGAACCTGTCTCAAAACCACAAAAATAGTAGTGGTGGAACAAAAGATGTCCATTACAAACCACTCAAGATACATCCTGCTGAACTAGTTACAGGGCAAGCACTGCCCAGAGTGGACAAAGGAGACAATGAAAAGAAGACATGCTCTACCCCAGGAACTCAGTTTAGTGATCTCCCAGTGTTATAAAGATTTGAAGTTTGAATGGCTATTCAGTTTTTCTTCAAAATATCATTCACAAGTGGTACATTTCACGTTTGTAAATGTTTTCTTTAATATTTTGTGAAGTCTTTGAAATAAAGGAAAAACTGACAGGTGAACATTTTACTGAACTTTTTCTATGTTCCACGCATGCACTGTGCTAAATGTCAAGTGACTACATGATTTGGAATTTTATACAGTACTTGCTGTCCATTTGTCAAAGTGCTTAGATCCAGCTTATCAACCTAGATGCCAGGTCCACAATGCTCCTCCACTGAAGGCTATAATGGTATTCCTCTGTTACACTGACTACATACATGACATACGTCAACTCTCCAGAAAGCACCAGGGGCAGACTGTTCTTTAATTAACATTATACTACAGGTGAGGCTGCCTTAAGTGGCCAATGAAATGTAGATTTGACAATGTCCAATAGTGCTGGGAGAGCTTGCTGCAGTCACCACCAACTCAGAGTTCCAGAAAGACAACAAACAAAAATGGTACAATTTACCCACACTCTACTGCTTATGACTTGCATATAAAATGTCCCACTTAATCACCATAGAAACCTTAGACAATTTATTTTACAGGTTAGAAAACGGGCTCAGAGAACCTAAGAAATCATAACTGGCCCTAAATACAGTGGCAAAGTGGTAAGTGGCCAAAAGTAGGGTTCAAACAAGGATGGTAAATTCCAGAATTTTCTACTGAGTCACAAAGTAGCTTTTTAAAATACTAACAATAGGAAATCCCTACTAATGGAAGCTCTGTAACAATTTGTAATACTGAAGCACAAATATAATTTTGTTTCCAAGATTTAAAGGATATTCTTCTTCTAAGAAGGAAGGTCACTGGATAGTTCTATTTTCTGAAATCAAAACTGGTGTTCATTGCAGATCTCAGACCAAACAAGCATCGTTCAGATTCCCTGTTTTCTTTCTCCAGTGTTTGCCCCCAGACACATTTTATTCATTTATTGTATCTTCTACCACTAACATGTAAACTACATGAGAACAGAAAACTTTGTCTGTTATTTAGTACTGCATCTCTAGGATCTATAGGAGTCCCAGACATTACTAGGGCTTACCAAATACACAAAAAGTGAATGAAAACTTGGTACACAGTGGGAATTCAATGATCATTAGTATCATTCTCTTTGCTAACCAGGGTACCATGTGTGTTGTACCAAATTCTGAAATGGAACTTATGATTAAAAATATGAGACAGGCCAAGTATACACCTGTAAGTACTGCAGTAGGAGACTGAGGCCAGCTTGGGCTCAAATGAAGATCACCATCTCAAACAAATAAAATGAATGGGCTCAATAAAGCAGTCACATTAAGCCTTACTTATCAAACACCACTGAAAGATGGAGGTGAGGATCTACATAAATTAAGTTTTGAATTAATAAACTTAGCTGCCAAGACCTAAAACTATCTCACAGAAATCTTAAAACATCAGCAACTTATCAGCTATCAATTCTCATCATGCTCAGGATACGATCAGAAACACTGCAAAGAATCTAGAATCTAAGTGAAATATGTAACCCCCTCCCATTTCCTTTGAAAAACAAAAACTAGAAGGTAAAGCACCACTTATAATAAACAGGCTGTTTTGAAAGATGAGGATACTTAGAAAATGAAAGACAGAGCCTTCTCCTTAATGCTGGTCTCCAAGTTATAACATTCACAGATGAGATTAACCAAAGAACGCAGGGTAGAGTCCCTAGCAACTCCAAGAGCATTTCCTTAGGGATTTTGCCTTTCTGAGAAAGTGTGTGTTCTTGACTTTTTAAAAATCAGAATTGGGACATAAAATATTAAAATATTTTTAAATACTTGGGAAACATAAGCCAGAAGTCAGCAATAAGAACATATATTTAATTTTTATTTAATGCCAGTATCTCCGAATTTGTTAGCATCTGAATACAGTGGCAAATGAGGACAAACACAGCTTGTGAGAGCCCATCAGAAAGAAACCTCTAGTCCAGAGGTCACTTTCCTGTGCTTGCAGCCATCACTACCCACCTTTCTACACTTCTGCAAACTGTTAATCCAATCCTCTACTAGCATCTTCCTCCCTGTTCCCGCGTTACTTCTCTTCACACTTGTCTCTGTCATAGCATAACCCCTGATTTAAAGAGTTCTTACTAAAAAAAGATGGCAAAAATCAGTCAAAACAAAAAACCATTGTTGCTGTTCCTGGGGCATGTGAATCCGGCCAAGCAGATATGAAATAAAACTTAAATATATGAACTTCATATATTATAAATATTTCTAGGAACTTAAAAAACTAGAGTAAAGCAAAGTTTCTTTTCAAAAGTATTCTGATATTCATAAAAATAAACTAATGTGTATAACTTTAGTTTTAGAAAATTCATCCTACAGGGGCTTTGCTAGCACATAACTCATAAAATCAAACAATCTATATATCTTATGCCTATCTAACAAAATGTATGCAGCTCACTGGTGCATAACAGCTTTCTACACAGTTCTTTGTAATTTTCCTTACATAGAAGTAGAATAAAGCTTTTATTTCTGTCAAGGCAAAAAACCAATCATGTTGACTTTTGCCAGAGTAGAAAACACTCAATAATGACTTAATTAGGGTCTATGTAGTACCCACCTAACTATGCAGAATTTCCCTCATTTTACTAGGTGTCATAACTTACTAAAGGCAAGGGCTTCTTTCCATGGAATACCAAACACAGGTGGCTCCCTCAATTAAACGGGATTGATTTAAAATTTGCTTTTCAGGAAGCATATCATTTGCACCTCTGATCATTTCATCCACTTATTAATTAAATGAATTACACAAACACAGGTTCTATTGTGAGAGTTCACAGAAGGTTTTGAATAGTGATGTTTCATAGTGTCCTTTGGAAACCATTTCTAACTCAGAAAAAGATACCTCATGAAACAAATAAAAATGAAGTGATGGTGTATGTTCAGTGGATAACATAATAATTAACATATTCAACTTTCAGCTAGATTCTTTAAGATTGAAAACATAAAGCCCTCTCTATTACAAACTGGTGGGGGGCGGCAAACAGAAGTTCTAATCACTGGAATTTTTGTTCTATTTCCTGTTAATACACGGATAGGGATAGTCCCACCATTCAACATACTCATTCCACACACATCTAAAAGCTACAGAACCCTTCCTGGACTATCTGGCTACTAACTCGGCTCTTAACTCATGAATCTAATTCTCCCTAAGGAGTCAAATTAGACAGCTAAAGCATACACAGTAATATAAAAAGCAACTCTTCATTTATTAGAAACGCCTATGTCTTCAAAAAAGTTTCAAATTGTCACGTTCAAAAAGTACTCCAGAGTCACCTTCACAGAAACATTAAGGGTATTTTTGAAAAGGTGTAAAAAATCTGCTATTGTACCAAGAGTATTAAACAGTGGTAACCGAAAGCCAAAAGAGTCTAAATTGTACCCACCAAAATTCCCAGCGAAATCTAAAATTGCATAATGAGCAACATCTTTGACTATGCTACGACAGAAACTAACTTCTAATATAAAATGTCAATCAACCTGACCCTAAAATTTGGCGTTTTACTAACTTACCTAGACCTGACAAAATGGATGCAAAACCATACTGCCTGGCTGTTGCCTTGAATACAACGTTAATGTCCGAGAACTTTCCAATGAATAAAAGCCCATCTACCAACAGCCTCCTATGCTTCGGGGAACCCAAATTTCAAGAGACCAGAAGAAAAGCGCTGTGTGGCTGCACATCCCCTACAGTCTCCTGGAAACCCCTCTTATCAGAAACATTTGAAGAATTCCTCCTTAACAATTAAGCTGACTTGAATGGAAACTCAGCATCTCAAATATACTATATATGGAATGAAACTTGAACAAACACGTAAATACAAACTCACACACTCCCTGACACTTCTGATCTACAACCCTGCAGGGGACAATTCTACAGCATCTGCAACAGACAGATCCACCTGTCACCTGTCAGCTACGCCCAGAGACCCTCGCCAGCCTCCCGCTTTCAACCACAGTCTCACGGTGCGGCTGGTGACTCTAAGGGGGCCACCTAGTCACAGCGGGGCGCGCTCCCCACTTCGAGAAAGGCGGCAGGAAAGCAAAATCGGAAAGGAAAGGGAGCGATGTGCTTCCTCTTCAGCCCACACACACATAAGTTCCCTGGTTCTCCCTCAACTCTTGGGCCCCTAGAGTCAGCTTTATCCAGACTGGGTCCCCCCCCCCCAAAAAAAAAGTAGTCTGGCTCCCTCCCTCCCGCTTCCATATCACAGGCCTGGGGGCGGGCCGGGGGCAAGGCACCTCCACCCCGGCTCTCCCCGGCGCTGAGCTCCAGGACAGGCCCGTTCGGTCCCCCTCCCCCGGCGTCCCGGAGCCCAGGCCAGGCCCTGTGCTCCCCGCCCCCACCCGCCCTGCAGGACTTGGGGGCCTCCCGGCGCCTCGCCACCGCGGGCAGGACCCGGGCGGAGCGAGGAAGAAGGCGAGGAAGGCGCGGACGCCCCCACAAGGGCCTCGCGCGCCGGGGAGAGCCGGTCCCCGACCCGGAGCCGACACGGGAAGCGGGCTGAGGATCCCGCCGAGGCCCCGCAGCGCCGTCCGCTTACCCTTCGCCGCCGCCGCGGCTTCCCCCTCCTCCTCGTCCGCCGCCGCCGCCTCTCCCACTTGGGCAGCCGTCTCCCCCGTCGTCGCCGCCGCCGCCTCCGCCACCACGGCCGCCGCCAGCGCCGATTCCACCCGGCAGGGGGGACACCTCAGCCCTCCCTCCCTCCCCGCTCAGCCCCCTCCGCCCGGCCGCCGCCGCTGCCGCCGCCAACTCCCTCCGGCCGCTGCCGCCGCCGCCGCTCGCGGCTGAGGGGGAGGGGAGGGGGTCGGCCTGGGGCGCCTGCCGCGGATCAAAGCGATGGCCGGGGCGCCGTGGCCGCGGCCCGCTGCTCGGCTCCGGCTCGCACGGCCGCCCTGACTCCCTCCGCCCCCACCCCCCGGCCGCTCGCCTGCCCTCCCCCCACCCCCCCAGCTCTCGCTCGCTCTCGCCGCCGCGGCTCCGCCAGCCCAGTCCGCATCAAAATACGGCCACACAATATGGCGGCGCGGCGGCGGGCAAACACCGCGAGATCTGCGGCCGCGGCCCAGGCGGCGGCTGTGACGAGGCCTCCCTCCGCCGGGTGGCGGGGATGCTCTCTTTTCCCCGCCCCACCTCCGGCGCTCGCTTGCGGTCCCCACGCCCGTCTGTCTCGCCGTGGCTGAGTGGGGCGGCGGGGGTGGGCGGAGGGGACGGCGAGCCGGGGCGCGCGCGGGCTGGGGAGACGAGCGCGGCTTCCCTTCGGACTCGGGCGGGAGAGGGAGGCACTGAGCCCCGACCCGCGCGCGCGCCGCCGCCTTCGCCGCCGAGGGGCTCTCGCGCGCGGGGCCGGAAGCGGGTGACAGGCCGCCCGCGTGGGTCGGCGGCCACGCACGGGGATGTCCCCGAAGGCGGGGTGCGCCGCGGAGCAGGTGGGCCCGCGGCGGAGGCGAGCGCCGGGCCTGCGGGACCTCCGGGCCTGCGAGCCGGACACACCCCCTTGGAGCCCGGCCGCGCCGAGGCCGCGGCTCAGCCGGGAGGGACCGCGCGCGGGGACGGAGCCCGGGCGTTGCGGGACGCGTCCTGGAAGCCGCGGAGTTTGGATCGGGCTCTGGAGTTTCCTTGAGCCGCTGTGTGGAGGGGAGAAAAAGCAAAGGCTCTCACTAGTGCAAGGGAGTCGTTTCGATTTTAATTGCGCGTTCCTAGAAGTCCTAGAAGCCGAGCCAAAGACACTTTAGCTTGGAGGGGAGAGGGGGACACTTCGAATTTCTATCTTCTTAAAGATATATGGGATTAATTTTCCCTCCGGGGGAAAATGTTTAACGTTCAGATATTTCTCACAAAGTAAGATAAATTTATTTAAAAATCCTGGCGCTTTCATATGTCCAAAAAAAAAAAAAGAGGCATTTTTTTCTGACCCTGTCCAAAACGTGCATATCGCTGCCAGTTTCTTCCTTGAAGAAATTCTTACTCCCGAGAAAAATCCCGAAGGACTGTTTTTATTATTCCATTTCCAGTATAAACTCCACGGGTGTGAGAGTTTATTGTTTTAAAAACTCTTTCTTAACATTTAAATATAACCCTTCCACTTCCTTTTTCATACTAATTAAAAAAAAACAACCTGGGGCAGCGATGGCACAGGTCTTTATGCTGGAAGCAGAGGCAGGAGGATCTCTGTGAGTTCGAGGACAGCCAGGACTACACAGAGAACCTCTGTCTCGGAAAAACCCGAAACAAACAACCCCTGAAGTATTGGGGTTTAGCTACAATTAAAAACCTTTAGCCCTTCAGAAGTCACAAGTGCTAATGTTTTCCAACTTTGGAGCTTCCATTTTTTCTCTCTGGTGGAGATGACAATAAAAGAAGTATATGATTTAAAAAATTATTTGTGTGTGTGAAGTAAAAGTAAATTATGATTTACATAATAGATGATATTTGCATTAATTCACAGTAATAGGAGTCATCAAACCCTAATATGTCACAGAAGTTCCCTGAGGAATTATTTTCACATTCCGTATAGCTGAAGCAATGATTTTAGATACATTGAATCAGTTTTAAGTCAATTAATAAACTAAGGCACCACGCCAACATATACTTTTAAAATAATAGAATTAGGTGCTTTAAGTAAAAAATAGTTTCTGTTAGAAATTTGTTTTACGAAATGTACATGTACATGTTTTAATAGAAACTACTGTGTTCTACATAAACTTAAATGAAACGGATGTCAATAGGTCGGGAAGAGATGTGTGGAATGTAATAGGACATTTGCACAAAGTCTGAAGGGCTGGGGCCTCTGTCTGATAAAGAGCAAGCTTCAGGCAGCTGTGAGAAGAAAATGTTATGAAAGAAACAACCTATTTTAAAAAGCATGGCAATGTTGTAAGAAACAAAGACCTCAGATTAAAGGAAACTAAAGGGACTTGACATCTAAATGCATTGTAGCACAGACCAGAAATTGATCCCTTATTGGAAGAGAAAAAGTTACAAAGTATATCAATGAGATAATTGGTGAAGTTGGGTATGAACATCAAGTACTGGGTTTTTGTTAACTTTCCTGAATCTGTTCTGATTGGTTAGTATTCTTAAACACATCGCAGTACTGATGGGGGAAGAGGACATAATGCATAAAACTTTTTCCAAGAAAAAAATAAGCATGTGCATCGTATATGTCACGTCTGCCATGCACATACACAAAAGGAGATGGTAAAATTGAAATCTTGGACTATCAGAGAAATTTTTAGAGTTAATTTGGATGACTCTAGACCATTTGTGTTATTTTGCAATTTTTTGAAAGTTTGCTTATGAGCCTAGCCTTTAACAGGTGAGCCATCTCTCCAGCCCAAACAGTCTCTCATTTGTCAAGTCCCCCCGCCCCCTCCCCAAATCTTGCATTTTTGATAGGTTTGACATTTTTGCAATATTCACTTTTTGAAAACTAGGCTGGAGATGCATTGCTCAGAGATAGAGCATACGCCCGTGTGGTGTGAGTCCCTGGGCGTGATCCTCAGCACAGCAATAGCAGAACAAAATAAGAGAACTTGGGTGAACTCCTAGGAGTTTCCTGACCTCGGCAAGGGAAGGCATGTGATTAGAACTAGAGATACATGATTGGCCTCTTCGTTTTCCCCACTAACACTGGAAGTCTGGCTCATCTGGGTATTTTTCAGTTTTCAATCTATATGATTTGTAATATAAATAGTGAGGGATGCTTTTATGTATTTGATAAGTGCGATTTCTGTGTTTATGGAGTTGGTGAATAGTCATCTCTGTCTACAAGACTGATAGAAATAAAGAGGACAGTCTTCCAGCTATTCTCCATAGTGGCTACAGGAACCTGGCTAAAATCCCATTTAGCATTCAAGAGCATGTTAGTGTGGTTTTGTGCTTTCAGACACAGTAACACTAGCTGCCTGTGATTGTTTAAACCAAATTAAAACTCATAGGCTCAGTTGCACTGTTCAAGTGTGCAATAACCCGCGTGTTCCATCTTCACAGAAAATGCTGTTCAACAGAACTGATAGTGGAAGAGATTACACTGTGTGAACAGGCATCTGCACGAGGAAGAGGGTGACAGTCACCACAGCAGCTGAGGTGAGATTGCTTTGCAGGGCGTGGAAGTAGGAAACGCAGGGCGAGTCTCAAGAGGAAGATTGCACATTAGCAGGTGGAGGTGAAGCAAGAGCGTTTCAGACAGTGACAACTGAACAAAGCAAGAGAGACTTCTGTGAGAGAAGCACTTAATTCTGCATATCTGTAGCGTAAAAGGTGTAAAGGAAGGCGGGGCGGCATAAAACCACAAGCGCTGAGCCTAACCCGCTCTTCGGGCAATGAGAAGCGACTTGTGTTTAGATAAGAAGAAAAGATGAGATTAAGCAAATGGTTCTTTAAGAAGGGTGCTCTTAAGGTTGTCAAGATGCCTCGGTGGGTAAAGTGCTTGTTGGACAAACGTGAAGACCTGAGTTTGATTCTCAGACCCCACACAATAAAGTCAAGGCAAGACGGCTTGTGCCTCTAATCTCAGCACTGGGGAATCAGAGATGTACTGCTCCCTGGAGTTTGTTGGTGAGCTAGTCAAGATGTTGACCTCTGTGTGTCCCCCCCCCCCCACTCTTTCCCACCCGCTCCCCCCTGGGGACATTGGATTAGGAGTGAAGTCATAGATCATACAGCATTGCAGTAGCCCAGATGGGAGACACTAAGAAGCCGCTCTAGTGTGGACTATTAGTAAAATTGTTTTGAATGGCATTTGACAAATCTTAATTTAAAATGGCTTAGGTAGTGAGACATGTTGCTGTACACCTATAATCCTAGCACCTGTGAGAGGCACAGGCAGACGAGCCAGGCGTTCAAAGTCATCCTTAGTTCTGTAGTTAGTTAGAGGACAGTCTAACCTAAAATATCTTATTAAATAAAATAAAAATGTATACCCCAGTGATTTGGAGATTTCAAAACAGTAGACCTCAGTCTGAAAGGCATAAAAGTACAATAATGTCGTCAAGGTCTGGGCTCTTTCCATCTCTGCTCTGCGGCTTTGGGCTTTCAAATCATTCTCAGGCTCGTAACAAGATGGACCTAGTAGTTCCAGGCATCTGGAATGCTAATGTCTAGAAGAAGGAAGGAGAGGGAAAATGTTTTCCAAAACTGTTCTCCGTTTTCCTCCTGTGAAGATTAATCTTGATTGTCAACTTGATGGAACTTAGAATCACCTATGAGGCACCTCTGGACATCTCTATGGGGCATTGACTGAGGTGGAAACATCTACCTCAATGTGGGTGGCACCATCTCCATCTCCTGGGCTGCGGTTCCCCACAATCTAAGTGAGAAGGCAGGCTGAGTACCAGCATTCATCTCTCCCTGCTTCCTGACCTTGGCTGCAACATGACCAGCTATGCATTGCTTGGGGTGATGGACTAGACACTCAAACCAAACAAACCAAAACCCCCTCTTCCCTTAAGTGGCTTTCGTCAAATATTTTGTTATGACAACAAGGAAAGAAACGAATATAGGTCTCCTCTCCAAATACTTCTCTTTCCCTTCCCCTGGACCATATTTGAACCACATACCAGTCTCTGGTTCCCATGGTGAAATAAGTTTTGAAGAGTAAAGATGGAGAGGTAAGGGTCAAAGATGCTCTGAAGGTTTGAGCTGAATGACTCAGAAACAGAAAAAGGAGCAGATACGAGAGGACACATGACTCTTGTAACAGCTCTGGTTTGGAGATGGTGGCAGGAGGGGAAAGGGAAAGAGAAATAATGAGTCTTGACCATGTAAGAGAAATATATAAGAAAAACATGGAAGGCACAGGAATGCTTGCATTTTAGGAGACAAGTGTAAGAAAGGAAGAAAACTGTAAAGTATGTATGTGTGTGCGTGCGTGTGCATGTGTGTGTGTGTATGCATATACAAACTGAAAGTGGTTACCAAGATTTATATAGATGTGCGAAGGCCTAGAATAACAAAACCATTCTGAAGAACAAAGCTGGAAGGCTTACCCAACAAAATTTCAAAGTTCATTATGAGGCTCAGTAATTGAGACAGTGTGGTATTGGCAGAGGGCTAGATGAATATACCAAAGGAATATAATAGAGAATCCAGAAATAGAACGAGGGAGCTTGATTTACAGCAAAGTCCCCGCCACAGTGCAGCGAGGAAAGGATAATATTTTGAACAAATGGTGCTGGAGCAATTGGCTACTCATCTGGAAAAAAAGGATATTTGATTCCTACCTCACTCCATATACACTAATTAATTCAAGATGATCACGGACCTAAGCGGGAATGTTTCTAAATAAGCTTGTATTAATCAAAAGATATGATCAAGAGAGTGGGTTGGGAAGAGAGACTGCATTTTAAAACACACATCTGGGCAATGGACTCGTATCCAGAACCAGCAAAAGAATTTTGTAAATCAATAAGAAAAGCCAAGCAGATCAGATTTTAAAATGAGAAAGGCTGTTGTTGTTATTGGAGGCTTTTCTTTTTCTAATTTTGAGACAGGGTGTTATTGTAGTGTGATCTGGCCTTGAATTCACTATGCAGTCAAGGCTATCCTCGAACTCCTGGTCTTCTTGCCTCTCTTTTACATGCTGGGATTGCAGATAGACATCCGTTTGCCTGTCTAAGGAAG